CCGAAGACGAGCGGCTGAACGTCCGGCTGTGCCGCCTGCGCCGCCTGTGCTTCCTTCGGCTGCTGCGCTGGCTGCGGTAGCTGCTGTTCTCCCGGTGGTACTCGTAGGAATGCCGGTAGTCTGCATCATAGTAGGCGTCCCCCCGCTCCCGGCTATAGTCATTGCGCCTGTAGCTGCCACAGTATCGCCGGTCATACGGTCTCCGGTCTGATGAACGGTCATCATAGCTACTGTTGGGCAATGAACACCCATTAGGGACATCTGTTCAGGCCACGTTCCTTGCCAAACCAAGTGACAATGTCCTCCCTCAGTGAGGACCAAAGACCAGAGAAGCGAAGGAACCAAGCACAGAGGAGGACCTGTTACCACCTGCCGGTCACCAAGACCTCTGAAAAGACATTGGCAGAACTACTGCCTCTGGGGGCCTCCTCACCCCTCCACTGATTCAATGGAACAAACAGCCATTTCGTTCTCGAGCCTTTCCTGACATCCAGCTTTGCTCCAAACTGTCCCCAACCCATCACTCCCACTGAATAGGCCACTAAGCCATTAAAACCACGGAGACCTAACTGTTTCATCTATGGCTCATTAGCCACCTCCAGCCCCTCCTCTTCCGCATTTGCTTTTTTTTTTTGTCTGGAACGTTTCTCCCTGATCTTTCAGACCAGCTTAGACGTCACGCTGACCAGGACGTTTTCCATGAACCAAACCTGCTGGGTGCTTCCTCGGCCCCTCGCTGTACCCTTCCTCCGTGACAGCACTCTTCGAACCACAGGGCACAGGCCTTCTTTTGTTCTCCACACGGAGCATCCTGTCTCCCAGCCGCTTAGCATGTAACCAATAAGCCTTGTGAACGACTAAACAAGGGACCGTGAGTATGAGGCCTCACCTCCGGGAACGGACATGGTAGCTGTCTTCCTGCCGCCGCCGCCGTGTTCGGTCACTGCTGCTTGACCAGGAACGGCTTCTTCGTCTCTTATGCTTTCGGCTCCGATAGTGTTCATGGTAACTCCCCCGGCTGCCTCGCTCTGAGGAGTGGTACCTTCGGGGATGGGGCATCTGGAAGGGAAGGAAAAGCAAAAATAGTGTGGAAAGCTCAGAGTTTTCAGACCTGCCCAAGGACACAGGTGCTAAGCTGCTTTCTGCTTTTCTCTCTCTTTTTACCACTCACACCTACCTCCTCAGTCTTCCTCTGTGCTCACAATACCTCCTTAACGGAGAATACATTCACCCAACTCTGGGTGGAAGCTCCAGGAAGCCTCCCCTCACCCTGACATCCTTAACTACGCCCCACTCGGCACACTGCTCTCCTCTGATTTTCCTCAGACATGGCTCCATGAAGACATGCAGGCCTGGGCCACAGCTCATTACAGGTGAGATGGTGCAACTGATGGAGACTGTCATAGTCATCCTTGGCTCGGATCTGAGACAGGTCTGTGCCACCTGAGTGCCTCACAACTCTACAGAATATAGCTGTAGTATACACTGTTACAATAAATGTTTCATTCAAGTTACTAAAGGTGCACCTGCCTCATCTCCCAAGCCAGGCCATCCGTGTCCTGAGCGCAGAAATCCTGTTTACCAGGATTCTATATACGGCGGTGTATAAGCAAGTTCTAGGGCTCTGGGTCTTAACCACCTCTCACATCTATAGCCAAACCCTCCTCCTGAGGTCTTAATACAGGAGGCCCCAAGCTACCCGCAGCTTCCCATCTGGCCCCTCCCCTTTTGCACTTAGAAGTACAGAATAACTGGTTTTTCACTAATATCAGCACCACCTGGCTAAGAGCCAGCCACCTTCCAGTTATTGGGATCGGAATGGCATGGCGTACAAATCCTTTTTTTCCTTCACGGAAAGAATCAGAAGAGCAGTCACTGTCACAGTCCAGGATGATGAGAACAGGAGGGCAGAATGAAATGAAACAGGCCCAGGGACAGAGATCTTGGTGGAGGGAGGGTTCGTGGTGGAAAGGCTACTGACTCGGGCATCTGGCTGCCGCTCTGAGCGACTCGTTTCCAACCTCCTCAGACTGAGGAGGAGGCTGGTATTTGATTCATGCCTGGCCTAACAAGGCTTGCAGGAAGCCAAGAAGATGCAAGCACAAGATTCTCCCAGGTAACCCAACCTTGCTTAGCACAGCCACATAAATGTCACCTCCCTACATACAGAGTGCCACCAAAATTCCTCAAAGACCTTTCCCCACAAAGCACCTCCAGGCTCCAACCTTGTTCAACTTCTAAGTCTTTCTGTTCTCCCTTTCTCACTCGGGAAATCCACAATGTCTAAAGTCAGACTGCTTCCATCTCCTCCAAGTGACACGGTGGTGTCTTCCTCCTGTCCAGCCTCGGTGCAACTTTGATATTCTGCTCCTTGTCATCCCTGGAACCACTCCTATCCCTACTCCATCACCCCTTCTCCCTACTTTGGTGCCTCCCAAGTTTCCTACAGGTCTTCCCGGATTCAGAAGGCACGCTGCTCTCTTCCCCCCTCAACTCCCTGCTCCTCACCTCTGCCGCTTCGCGGGTCTTCAGCCCCCCTCCTCTCCTAGTCTCGCCCGGGTCCCTGGCCCCCAATTCAGCCCTTTCCCCGCCCGCCCCGCGGTCGCCATCTTTCCTCGCGACCCCGCTGCCCGCCGGCCGGCGCGCTCACCGTTCTGGCGGCGAGGCCCGTGCGCTTGTCCCACAGGAAGTCCGTGATGGCGGCGGCACTGCGGCCGGAGTCCCGGCACCCCCGCGGCGACAAAGTGCGGCTCCACCCCCCCGAACCCGAGACCCTGGGACCCCCCGCCTTGTGCCCGGGCTCCGCTCCAGTCCCGCCCGCCCCGGCTCCGTCCCCGCCCCCAAAATCCGCTGGGCGCCGCTCGCACCGCCCCCGCCCGGGGCCCGATCCCAGCTGGGTCTCCGACTCTGGCCTCTCCGATCCGCCGCCGCCACCGTGAGCGAGCACGTACGCACGCACGCACGCACGCACGTCCTGCGTCGCTTCCCAGTTACCCCTGGGCTCCGCCCCCAGGGCCGCGCACGCCGCCGCGTCCTCGCCCGGCTCGCGGGCGTCAACCGTGAGAGCTGAGGAGGTTCCGGGGGCGGGAGTTCGTGGCGATGGGGTGGGGGTCGCTGCGGCTCGCCGGGCCCGCTCCGCCCCGCCTCGTGTCCGTCCCTGTCCCTTCTCAATCTTTTGCCCCTTTCATGAGACTTCACTGGCTGACTTAGATAGGTTTGGAGGTTTTAAAAAAACCACACAAACGGTTGTCATTTAGGGACTGTCGCTGCTCCGCACACCTTTTGAGGCTTGATGTTGAGGTCTGATTCTCCAACATAGGCTGCAAATATCCGGTTCTTAAAGCAGTTCGTCTACCAAACCACAGCAAAGAGGGGCTCCCGCCTTTTTTCCTAAACAAAAGCTATGCACAGGTGGGGTCGGGGCATAGCCGTGAAGGAAAGGTTTGAGAGATGGAGGGATGTAGAATCGGACGCTGACAAAAGGAGAAATCCCTTGAGAACTGTTATGTTACGTACTTACACATAATATAAGAAGAGTAAGTTTACCGAATTGAAAAAAAGAAGAGGAAAGAGAAGGAGACCTTGAGACAAACTGGGCTGTTAGAGACGCAATAGAAGGGACTGAGAAATTGAAAGGGAAATGAAAAAGAGCCTGAGGATAACTATTGAAGTCAGAGTATCAGAGGGGAGCTGGGATGGAGGATTGTCAGATGGAGATCAGATCAGTTAGCCAGAAGTGGTTTCGGAAAAGTTCCCTAAAATAGAAGAATGGTAATGAAGGCGCAGAGAGGACAGTGGCGAGTTCACATCCTCCTGCAAGTACACTTTCCCAGATCATTCGTTCATTCAACAAGCATGTACTGAGTGTCCACTATGTGTCCAGCACTGTGCCAGGCGTCAGGCTCCTGTACTTCAGAGCTTTACAGTCTAGTGGGAGAGAAGGGCCTGTAAGCTAATGGCAGCCTTATGAAAAGAGTGGTGATGGACACTGTTAGAAAGCTCTAGGCTAGATGCTACCTGGGAAAAGGAGATTGGGAAATGTGTCTCTCAGTTTCCTAGAGGACATGAGATCTGAACCAACTGTTGTATCCTCAGGGTCCACTCAGTGACGGGCATCTGAAGGTTAGCAGAATGAATTCGGAAAGGGAAATACGATACTAAGGTGAGCAGTATGGAGAACAGAAGAGAGGAAAACGCCGAGAGTGCTGAGAGAAAGAAAGTGGAATGCAGGAAGTCCAGGAGCGAGAGTGGGGAAGAATCTCAAAAGACATTCCCCACCTCTTCCGTTGGTCCCCAATCCATCGCCCTCCTTGGTCTCACAAGCCACACCCACCTTCCAGTTTTCCCGCCACTTGAAGGCGTCTCCACCTCCCTGGCACTCTGCGAATAAAAGCCCATCAACTCTAGGCCACGCCCTCTCTTGGCTCCCGCGGTCTCCTCCTGCGCTTTGAGAACGACCGCTATTTGCTAAGCCACACCCACCCCGGAGTCCCTCCGGGTACCGGCTTCACTGGCTCCGCCTCCTCCCGGGATGGCTCTCGGACGGCCCCGCCCCGTCTGCCCTGCCCCGCTTTCGCGCCGCCCTCGCCAGGGGGCGCAGCGCAGCCCGCCAGCCGCTCGCGGGAGAATCTGTCGCCACACCCCCTCTGCCCCGCGCGCCGGCAGTTCCCAGCCCACTACGCCTCCGCTGCGAGCCCGCGGGGCTGCGCCGGCTCCGACTCCGGGAGGGGCCGGGGTCCCGGATGGCCGCAGCAGGGTCTAGGAGGCCAAGCGTGTAAGCCGTGGGGCGTCATGGAGGCGGAGCCGCGGCCGACCACGGGGGCCGGCGACCGGGCGACCCCTGGACTGGAGGCGGTGCCTCCTGTTGCCCCGGCGCCTGCGACTGCGACCTCGGGTCCGATCCCCGGGTCCGGATCCGGACTCGCGTCCAAGAGGAGGCAGCTCGGTACGCTGCTCCAGCCCGCGGTCAACAAGTTCTCCCTTCGCGTGTTCGGCAGCCACAAAGCCGTGGAAATCGAACAGGAGCGGGTCAAGTCAGCGGGGGCCTGGGTCATCCACCCCTACAGCGACTTCCGGTACTGGGGGCCCGGCAAGGGGGGCGGGGGACGCAGATCCCACCTTCACGGCCGCGACTCGGGGACCGGGCCCGCCTCACCCTCCACGGTCACTTCATTTCCGGTCGAGGGGTTCCCGGGTGGGGCGAGAGAGTCACTTCCACCAACCTAGCCTGGGAATTCTCAATGACTTCTCAGGCTGGGGGCGCCGGAAGGGACAAGCAGACGCCGGAGACCTGGATTTCCCGTTTCAGGAACCCGGCACTCCACCTGGACCACAGGGACTACTGGAGTTAGGGATCCTTGCCTCCTCCAGTACTGCTTGCTGGGGACCTGGGAAATTGTGTCATATGCCAAGGCTCGGGGTCAGCCTGACGGAGGAACCGAGCTCCGCTACCTTCCACCCACCCCTCCCCCTACTCCCACCCCCTAGCACCTGCCTAGTTCAGCAAGGCAGGCTACCGGGGGGGAAAATAGAGATGCTGGAAAAGCGGGGGAGTTCTGACAGCAGTCTGGTCGCTGTCCTTGGTGCTGAAGGCGGGATGCGGCGGGGCATGGCTGGGACTCAGCGATTGAGGCAGCAACGCAGGGCAGCGGCCACCGCCCAGGTGACTATCAGAGAAAAGGCACTGAGGTGAGGGCGGGGCCGTTTCATAGTGCCCATCAGGCTGTACCTTTACATCAAGGTCGCTAGGGGAGGAGAGCAACCCTGTCCTTGGGGGAAATGAAGGACAGCTTTTGGGTGAGGCAAGGATACGTGCAAAGCAGCTAACCTGGGGAGCGAAATGAGCAGAAGGGATGAGGTGTGAATCAGGAGCCTGGAAACACAATTGGAGACCTAGACATCATCGTGAATTCACAGACATCCACATTCCCTCAATGTTCCTTTCTCCCATTGTTTCTTCCATTCCCATCTTCTTTACTGCCTAATTCCCACCCCACCATGCACCTTTTCCAGTCTCCTGTGGATCTCCCTCCCCTCCCCCATTTCACCCTCAGATGTACCGCCCAGAAGCCATGTCTCTCCCTTATCGTGGTGCTTCTTCTCTGTCCTCTCCACTGCATCACCCGCCAGGCTTGTGACTGCCTGTGAGTCAGGCAGTGAAGAGGCTCTATGGCTAGGCGAACCCTCTTTCCCGCTCCTCTCCCAGCTCACAGTACAGAATTTCTCCAGTGGCCCAGGCGGCCGAGGAAGACGGGGGTCGAGGATTTTTTTGTTGTTGATTGAGGATTTTTTTTGTTGTTGTTGATTGAAAGCACGTAGCCTGAGGGGCTGTCTGGAAGCCTGGACGTGGGGACCACCAAGCTTCTTTCAGGGGCTGAAAGAATTGATTTTGCAGTCAGAGGGGCTGGGTCCTTGGTCAATGATGTGATTGGGTGCGCCTTGGAAATAAAACCATCATAGCTAATTGGGACCCTGGAATTGTCCAGTGATTTTATTTTTCTGAATGAGGGCTGCATCTAGCCCCCTCCTGACCTCTTCTTTCCACAGCTTCCACCACAGCAGGGTGGCTCTCCCCTGCCCGTGCCCTTGCCTGGGCTCAGCCTGAGTCCCAGTGGGCAAATGGAGGCCAGGGGAGGAAGGGAGGGCAGAGCTTCAAGCCTTGCTGCCTCAGGATCTCCTGTGGAGCTTCTCTATGGGCGGCCCTGTCTGAGGTGCTGCGGGGTGGGGGGAGCATCTCTGAAAAGCTCAGTTTAGATGGGAGGCAGGACAGACCAACCCAGCCTGGGACACAGTTGAGCAGATCCCACAACCCCAGCAGAGAAACAAGAACCATGGGTCCGACCGGTTGGGGAGGAGGGTTGAGGTGGGGAAGGATGGGGAGGGAGTGAAGTACTACACTAGGGATGGGCAGATAGCTGAGATGGGGGAGCAGCAACCTCTTCAGGAGTCTCAGAATAAAGAGTGGGTGACTCACAACACCAACTAGTGCTTGTACAGAATTGTCACATCCATTGTTTCGGTGCATATTTTTTCAGCAACCCTGGGAGTTAGCACAGGGAATTTTATTTTTAACTTTAAAAATATTTAATAATAGTGGCATAAATCATATATATAGCAAAGATAGTACATATATATTAAGAAGATATATTGGGTTGTCGGAAAAGTCATGACGTATTTTTTTCTGGTTTTCGTTGCAAAAATGCGTCATGACTTTTCTGACAACCCAATATATGTATATATTAGGAGTATAGATAATAGGGATACTATATATAACATATAAAAATATATAGTGTATATATATATATATATATATATAGTATACATACACACACACACACAGGTATGGGTAGAGCCTTATAGTATATAGTAGACCCTGTGTGTATTTGAAAGAGTAGTCCTAAAGCACACTCTCATGTAACAATGTAACAACTATGTAGGTCAAGAGCCACTGCTACATTGGCCTCACCCCAGAAGCTCCCTGCTGCCCTCACATTCCTTTCCCACACCCACTATTGTAACTTTTGTGGTCCTCATTTTCTTACATTTCTTTATAGTTTTACCATTTTTCTGTGACTCCCTAAATTATGCACTTTAGTTTGACTGTTTTTGAACTTTGTACAAGTGAAATCATCCAGTGTATCCTTTTGTTTCTTGCTTTTGCTCAACGTTAAATGTGTGAGATTGATACATACTGTGGAATGTAGCTGCAGCCGGATGCTTTCACAGTTGTGTCGCATACCAGGGCGTGAATATGTCACAGTGCATTTATCTCATTTATCTACAGTGTTCTACTGATGGACGCTCAGGTTGCTTCTGGATTTAACACTGCTATTCCTGTATATCTTCAAGAGTCTGTATACTAATAATGGAATTGCTGGGAGTACAATGTTTATCTTTACTAGATTAATACCAAACTATTTTCCTAAATGGTGGTCCCAATTTATACTCCCACCAGCTTTAAGTGGTCAGTCCCGTATTCTCTGTGCTTGGCCAGGTCAGACTGTCTGCTGTTAGTCTAGTGGCTGGTGAAATACCATCGTGGTCTTACTCCCCACCTCGCACCCGCCTTAGGTTTTACTGGGACCTGGTCATGCTCCTGCTGATGGTGGGGAACCTCATCGTGCTGCCCGTGGGCATCACCTTCTTCAAGGAGGAGAACTCCCCGCCTTGGATTGTCTTCAACGTCCTCTCCGACACTTTCTTCCTGCTGGACCTGGTGCTCAACTTCCGCACGGGCATCGTGGTGGAGGAAGGCGCCGAGATCCTGCTGGCACCGCAGGCCATCCGCACCCGCTACCTGCGCACCTGGTTCCTGGTTGACCTCATCTCCTCTATCCCAGTGGATTACATCTTCCTAGTAGTGGAGCTGGAGCCGCGTCTGGACGCTGAGGTCTACAAAACAGCGCGAGCCCTGCGCATCGTGCGCTTCACCAAGATCCTCAGCCTCCTGCGGCTGCTCCGCCTCTCCCGCCTCATCCGCTACATCCATCAGTGGGAGGAGGTGGGGCGGGGAGGTGGGCAGGGGGGCTCGCGGACCCCTCCAAGACAGCGTTGTGGGTGGGGCTCCTGGGGACGCTGTGGGGTAGGCCAATGGGCGGGGCTTCTGAGGATGGGCAGTCTCCAAAGTTGCTGTTGGGGAGAAGCGGGAGAAGCAGGAACAGAATGAGGGTTCAGGAGGTGGGGCCCCCAGGTGAGCATGGTGGTGCAGCAGGTTGGGGCACAGCTGCTGGGCAAATACTTGATGGTTAGTTGGACTCTGGGAGGAAGATGTGGGAGGGGAGCTAGGGTTTCTGGGCAGCAGAGTTTAATGGTTCAAGTGCGGGCTCTGCAGTCTCATTGTCTGCGGTCAGATCCCAGCTTTACTGTTTACTGTGGAGATTTGGTTTCCTCTTCCATAAAATGAGAATGTTCAATATACTTGCATATGATAAGGTTATAAGGATTAGAGGAGTTAAGCACGTAGAACAGTGCCCCATACACAGTAAACTCTCAGCCAATTACCTATTGTTATTATTATTATTGGAGGGGAAGAGGGCTGCTGGCATTAATCCTTATACACATGCCCTGGGGACATTACACTGTGAAATGCCCCTTCCTCTTTTCCAGGCTACACCTGGGCAGCTTGCACAGCAGACGTTTTAGAGTTTCTGCTGTGACACTTACTGTAGATTCCGGCTACATGATTGGCAGTGATTTTCCTGTCTATAAGATGAGAGTAGTAACACGACCCACCTCGTATCAGCTATCTATGTGTGCTGTAAAGCTCTGTACACATAATGGCCACATTTTTTAAACTCACGGGGCTGGGGCTAGAGAAACGTTCAAAGAGGGTCCCTGTCCACAGCGGCCCCTCCTCGGACCCCTCAGATCTTTCACATGACCTATGACCTGGCCAGTGCTGTGATTCGCATCTTCAACCTCATCGGGATGATGCTCTTGCTGTGTCACTGGGACGGCTGTCTGCAGTTCCTGGTCCCCATGCTGCAGGACTTCCCACCCGACTGCTGGGTCTCCATCAACCACATGGCGGTGAGAACTCCCCACTGCGCTGCCCCCTGGGCCTGCTAAGGGCTCTCCTGCCGGGGCAGCGGAATGACCACAGGGGACAAGAGGTGGGAGATGGTGGAGAGATGACCAAGAGAGAAGGCCAGAGTGAAGAGGTGGGAAGTGAGAGGAGAAGGGGAAAGAGACCCAGAGGAAGTGTTTGTGTGTCAGTGGGAGCAGACAGGGAAGGAAACCTAGCCCCCCCCTCCAAGCTGCAAAAGAGGCCCCTTCTGCCTCAGGGCCCCCCAGAACCAAACTTAAGTGCATCTTAGGAGACGGGTCGGAAGTGAAGGGGAAGACAGAAGGACTAAAAGAGAGAGAGAGCGGGGCAGGAGGAGAAAGAGGCTCCGAGGGCCCTCTGCCCAGCTGTGCAATACTTTGCCCCCCAGAACCACTCGTGGGGCCGCCAGTATTCCCACGCCCTGTTCAAGGCCATGAGCCACATGCTGTGCATTGGCTACGGGCAGCAGGCACCTGTAGGCATGCCCGACGTCTGGCTCACCATGCTCAGCATGATCGTGGGCGCCACCTGCTATGCCATGTTCATCGGCCACGCCACTGCCCTCATCCAGTCCCTGGACTCCTCCCGGCGCCAGTACCAGGAGAAGGTCAGCGGGGGCAGAAGAAGGAAGGGTGGGCGTGGAGGGCCGCGAGGGGCTGCGTGGCTCCCCGTGGCCCATTCTGACGCATGCCCCTGTTGGGCCTCTGTCCTTCCTTGCCCCGTGTCCATTTGTCCCGTGCCGCTGTGTGCACCTTATCCTTGTTTGGACCTGCTCCTGTCCTTGGACACCCCCCTCTGCCCGTATCTGGGCTTTCCTGTGGCTATGCTTTGTGTCCTCACATCCGCCATTGTCCTTATGTCCTGCTGTGGCCCTGTGTGTCCCCTTTCTGTCTCCATGTTTCGCTGGTCTGGGTCTGGCCCACGTCCGTGACCTTCCTCCATATACGCCAACCTCCACTGTTGCTCTGTTATCCGCTCGCCTGTGGCCACGGGCTGGCCCTCCCTCCAGTACAAGCAGGTGGAGCAGTACATGTCCTTCCACAAGCTGCCGGCTGACACGCGGCAGCGCATCCACGAGTACTACGAGCACCGCTACCAGGGCAAGATGTTTGACGAGGACAGCATCCTGGGCGAACTGAGCGAGCCGCTGCGGGAGGTGGGTGGGCGGGGCCCTGGGCTTCCTGGCTGCCACCTGGGGGTGGAGATACTGGTCAGCAGGTGCGTCCTGTGGGGAGCAGGGCCCGCAGGGGGCCCCAGGGGAGGCCAGGCCTTTCCGGGGCTTTTAGAGGTTAGGGTCTCTCTTGAAGGGCTTTCGGAAGTGAAGTGTACATGGGATGGGCTGCAGGGATTTCTGTTTTGGGGGGATGGTCCTTCGAGGGCTCATGGAGAGCTCTGAAGGCAGGAGGTGGGGGATGGTCCCAGGCCCACTGAAGCATCCCCATCCTTGCAGATCATGACCCCAGGGGTGGGGCCTCTGGAGACAGATGAGCTCGATGGGGGTCCCTCGGAGCAGGGGGCACAGCCTGCCTGACAGGCCCCTCCCCTGCCCAGGAGATCATTAACTTCACCTGCCGCAGCCTGGTGGCCCACATGCCGCTGTTCGCCCACGCCGACCCCAGCTTCGTCACGGCGGTGCTCACCAAGCTGCGCTTTGAGGTCTTCCAGCCGGGGGACCTCGTGGTGCGTGAGGGCTCCGTGGGCAGGAAGATGTACTTCATCCAGCACGGGCTGCTCAGTGTGCTGGCACGTGGCGCCCGGGACACCCGCCTCACTGACGGATCCTACTTTGGGGGTCAGCGGGCCTCAGGGAGGGGGGGGCTGGAGCAGAGGATGAAGGGCAGTTGAACCCCAGGATCAGGGTCCCCACTGGCCATGCTGCAGAATGAGCATTCCAACCCCTGCCCAGGCTCGCAACCAGAGTCTCTGGGCCTGGAGCTCTTTTTAAGATGCTTCTTAGGCAATGCCAATGCACACGGGCAGGTTGCTCACTCTAGGCCACTGAGCCTTTCAGAACCCATTTGCGGTGAAACCCGATGAACCTGAGAGGAGGGACAGCGAGGAAGGAAGTGGGAGCGGAGCTTGGTGGCCCGCTGGTGTGTGAGTCAGGGACCCAGCCCGTGGCAGTGGGGGCAGTTCTGCCAGCTGCTGCCCAAAGTGACTTGCGGCTCATATGATCTCGGTCCCCAAACCACCCCGGCCCTCCGGCTTCCCTGTGGTGTTGCCCTTTGCCCTTTGGACTGCTTTTCTCCTGGGTTGGCCTTGGTGTTCATTCAAAAGGGGTAGGAGGGGAGGGTACACAGGGGGCTTTGTCCCAGGCCTCCCCCTTGGGATAGAGCAGCGGGGGTGGGAATCAAAGTGGCCTGGGACTAACTAGGACTCTGGGGACCAGCAAGACCTGCCTGTTTGTCAGCTTTAATTTGGAGAGTGAGGAGGGTTGTTGGGCCGGTCCGGAGAGCGACAGGGCTTGGAGCATTTAGGGACCCTGGGGTGGGTAATCGTTCGTTTCTCCCACCCGGAGAGGAGCCTGGGGTCAGGGGCCGCAGGCCCAGTGAGAGGGAGTTCTGGGGACAGTGGTTCTGAAGGCGGTCCTCCCAATTTCGGCAGAGATCTGCCTGCTGACGCGGGGCAGGCGCACAGCCAGCGTGCGGGCCGACACCTACTGCCGCCTCTACTCACTCAGCGTGGACCAGTTCAACGCCGTGCTGGAGGAGTTCCCCATGATGCGCCGGGCCTTCGAGACGGTGGCCATGGACAGGCTGCACCGTATAGGTGAGGCCCGCCCACCTGTCCTGGCTGCCCAGCCTGGGGCAAGAAGCCCTAGGGCCCCAGGGCCCAGGCTTAGCGCTTCAGTGTCATAGCCCAGCACAGCCCACCTCACCCAGCGCCCCCCGCCACACACACACACACACACACACACACACACACACACACACACACACACACATGCCCCCAGGAGGTCTTTCAACGCTGGCTCAGGTCCTTGTCTCTTGTCTCAGTGTCTTCCTAGCTGTGGCCACTGCGGGCGTCCCCATGCCCCGAGCCCTCCTTCCCGGAGTCCCTGATCCTCTTCCTCCAACCCCACCTCCCAACCTCCACCCCGGCCACCTCCCCGTGCTCTCGACCCCCACCCCGCCGCCATCGCTCAGGGCCCTCACACTCCACGTTCACCCTGGGTTCCTTCCGGGGACAACTTGCAGGCAAGAAGAACTCGGTGCTGCAGCGGAAGCGCTCCGAGCCGAGTCCCGGCAGCAGCGGGCGCGTCGTGGAGCAGCACTTGGTGCAGCATGACAGGGACATGGCTCGGGGCGTGCGGGGCCCGGCCCCAGGCACAGGAGCCCGGCTCAGCGGCAAGCCAGTGTTGTGGGAGCCACTGGTGCACGCGCCCCTGCAGGCAGCTGCTGTGACCTCCAGTGTGGCCATTGCCCTGACCCACCAGCGGGGCCCCCTGGCCCTCTCCCCTGACTCCCCAGCCACCCTTCTTGCCCGCTCTGCTCGACGCTCAACAGGCTCCCCAGCCTCCCCGCTGGTGCCTGTCCGAGCTGGCCCTCTGCTGGCCCGGGGGCCATGGGCATCCACCTCCCGCCTGCCTGCCCCACCTGCCCGAACCCTCCACGCCAGCCTGTCTCGGGCTGGGCGCTCCCAGGTGTCCCTGCTGGGGCCCCCCCCAGGAGGAGGCGGACGGCGACTAGGACCCCGGGGCCGCCCACTTTCAGCGTCCCAACCCTCTCTGCCCCAGCGGGCAGCAAATGATGGCTCTCCTGGGCGGAAGGGGTCCGGAAGTGAACGCCTGCCCCCCTCAGGGCTCTTGGCCAAACCTCCAGGGACAGCCCAGTCCCCCAGGCCACCAATGCCTGAGCCAGCCACCCCCCGGGGTCCCCAGCTCTCTGCCAACATGTGAAGCCCTTAGGCAAGCTCTTGGGTACAGTAATGTGTGTCCAAGGGCAGACGCCTCTTGGGGCAGGCCTGAAGCACTGCCCTATGGGAATATCTCCCCCTACTTCCAAGAAGAGGGTTTCGGTCCTCAGCTCAGGCACCCCGCAGCTTCCTGAGCCATTCACCCATCCATCCAATGTACTGAGCGCCACGGTGTTCAAGGCGCTGCACATCTCCACTGCCAAGTCCAAATGACTCCAAGCTCTCGGATGAGGGTTTTCCCTGGCCACGGCCCTGCCAGGTGCAGGCCCGGGTCCATGATCCCCCCTTACTAAGCACAAGTACTTGCCACCATCATCACTGCCAAGTAACTAGATGTCTTTCCTTGCCCAGGCCCCTGCAGGTTCTGTCTGGCATGGGTACTTTCCTGTCCCCCTAGCATAGCTGGGCACTGCCAGTTACCTGTGCCCCCAGTGCTGTCAACAGATGTCTCGGGTCCCCAATGTGGGCATCCACCGTCGCTGCCATGTGTGGGCCCTTCCTGTCTATACCCCCCGAGTGGGAACACACACGTCCTGATAAGTTCCCTGCGCTGTGTCTCTGTGGTAGAACTGTCTCTGTGTAAACTGGGAGCCGCCTCCTCCCTGGAACCCTGCCCAGTGGCGTGTCCCCTTTGAAGCTAAGGGATGATTGGCACCTCCTTAGTATGCCAGCCTAGATCCCCCCAGGTTGGGGGCAAGTGGCTGAATCCTTACATGGCTTTTTTTTT